AGCAGGAATTCCCAGGATCCTATCATTACGGCACTAGCAGCTTTTAGCACCTGTAATTGCAGGTCCTTGATCTTGATCTTTTTTATTTATTTATTTTTAAATGGCATGCATTTAAAGTGTGTACAGTATCTCTCATACAACAGTAGCAGGGACTGGGTCACTGGGAAGGTGCAGGCTCTTGAGTATTCCCACCATGATTCTATATCTGACTAGGCTACCAAGATCTTTGATGCCTTTTAAAACACCGAATTTCTTCCTGTAGCCCCAAATTTAAGAGATGGCAGGAGTTTTGCCAGCCCTAACTTTTACATACAGATAGCCAGGCCTTCAGAAGCCATGAGTTGATTTTTATTTTTTTTTTAAATCACAAGACTATAAAAAAGACAAGTCTGAGGTTACTTTATTTCCCTTTTTGTTGTTCAGCCTTTGAGGTTTGGGTTTATAAAAGTTTCTCTCTGCAAATATGAAGATCAGACACTTTTTTTTTTTTAAAGCTATAAAAAAAGGGAAGCAGAAATTCTCAAGCAATGCAATTCCAGTGGTGGGGATTTAAAAAAGAATAAAAGCACAGTTCACCACCCCGTTAATGATAAAAATCGCAACACTTGGCAATACTACTTCAATTTCTAATTAAAAGCTAAACATATTTTCAGTCTTGGAGATGATGTTCTTTTCTCTCCCATGATTTAAGACATCTGAAGAGGCAGAGAGCAAAGACAGAAAGCATCAGCCCCAGTTCACTCACCCCACATTCCCAAAACTGGGAGGGGTGGGGAAGGGATCCTAATGAAATTGCATAGGGGACAAAAATCAGTACATCACTCATTACCATAATGGGTTGATATTTAATTTAGAAGCTGGTTAATGTTAGTCACCGCATTAGAAATTGCTATAACCTTACAGTACCAAAAACTTCTATAACTTTATAGCACCTTACAATAAAAGTTCCTGGCCTTCATGCAAAAGGACCTCTGAAGTTGACAGAAGAAGTCTAGAAGGGGTCTAGAAATACTGTTCCTGAAAAAGCAGGAACTTCAGGCCTTTACTAAGAGATACTAGAAAGGCAAGACCTTCTAGACCATTGCATACAGCACCACTTCCATGCTGCACAGTCCGTGTGAGACCTGGATAGAAGCTCCATTTCCAGACTTATTGCCCACTGCTTACAGGGGAGGTTTAGTATAAGTCTAGTCTATCCGGGAAGGGGGTAGGGGGGAAATAAGCCTGTGTTGATGGGTGACCCAAGGTCTCAAGAGTTACTTAACTAATCTACAAGAGACCATAGTTAAAATCCAGGTTCGGGCCTATGCTTTGCAAAGTCCTGGACAGCTGCAGAGAGGGCACATCTTCATCTAACATTAATGATCCTGTATAGCTCTAATCATTATTAGTGAAGCTGACAGTAAACACCCATAGTTAACAGCACACAGTCACTTGCAAAATTCTATAACAGTAATTTTAAAAATGGAGCTGGACTTCAGAGAAATCATGAGCAGCACACCTAAAGGTTAGCTTATCCCCTATGCAGATCTTTGGTCTGCCAGATACTTGGTATTTCTTGAGAATAAGCAGCAGTAGGATCATGGGCTTGAGAGTTTTATTTTCCACACATACTCATAGAAAAAAAAAAAAAGTATATATAAAAGCAAAAAAAAAAAAAAAAAAAAAAAAAAAAAAAAAAAAAAAAAAAAAAAAAAAAAAAAAAAAAAAAAAAAAAAAAAGCTGTTTCTAAATACAGCTACTGACAGCCTGTGGAAAAAGCTTTCCTATGTCTCAAGTAAGTTTGGCACGTGGAAAGTTATGTTTTGGTTGGATTCCAGAAGCCACTCATTAGAATGTGTGCACACGCACACATACACACAGCATGTCTGCATGCAGAGACAGTTTCTGGTTCATCTACCACTTCCTCCAACCCCAAACACACACGCAGCATGCCTATACAATAAGTTACCAAGAGCAAATTTTTATCCCCCCCGCCACGAGATGCACTTGGTGTCTGTTTCATTACAAAGCTTAGAAATTCACTAAATTTCCCATGTGTTTAAATCTGGCTAATGAGCTCACAATACTGGAACATCCAGTCTATGCAGGGCAGCTCCTTCCTGACCTTTCCCAGCAACCTGCACCCACAGCTAACTTCCTGGGGTGAAGGGCTAGACAGAAAGCCAGGTCCATCTGGTTAGGGACACCATGCACACCAGAATCTATGCAGTTTTTAGAAAGCCTACAACTCCACTGGTGAGGTAATTGCAGGAACACTTCCCATACAATGTGTTCGGGAAGTTCTGCAAGAGAAACTTTGAGTGCAAATTAATACCGAGCACACAGGATGAGTGAATGTGTTGATATAACTTTAGTCCCCAGTTGAGAGCATCTGACAAAAGGCTGCTGTGCATCACAACCGTGAGTTGTCTACAGGACTGGTCTAGTTGCAGAAAGTGACATTGGTGTGTAGTGAGAAGCTGCTTGAAAGAAAAAAAAAAAAAAAAAAAAAAAATCACACAGATTGACAGAAAACGCATTCCTGGTGCAGAACGTGCAGTAAACGTGCAGCTCACCTACGAAGATACAACTCTTGAGTTCGGCCATAATCCATCAAAGGGAGAGGGAGGGGAAAGAAAATATAAGTGAGACAATTTCAAAAGACCCTCCCTCCCCATGTCCTATTGTATTTGATGCTTTCCACCCTTTTAGAGTTCTATTAGTTATGGTTTCAGGCTTGGGTTTAAATCACACCTATGTAGCTATAGCCACAGTTTCCAAGTTGGAGAGGGCAGACTCAGAGCCAGCCACAAGGCACAGGGAAGCTGTGGCATGGATGAAAGGACATAACCTTTACTCCAAGGACAGAGTCAATAAACTGCATGGACTGATCACCAGTCATATTTTAAAATGATGTGTCAGATGATGGAGGAGTGATAATTGTTTACACTGCGCTTCCGGGTACACAGATATTATGCCAAGACATTAGGGGACAAAGTTGTAGCCCTGCTTCAACTCCACTGAAATCAAAGGAGTTACGTTAGGTAGGACAATGGCCCATGACCCATGGTTTGCCAAAAAAACTTCCAAGGTTCCATAATTCAGTATTTTCTCCCTTCCCTTTGGCACAAGGTGGCTCCTAGTCTTTCATCCACCATCAGGGATTCAGCAAATTATAACAGATATTTTCAAGTGTGCTATAGCTGGTGGGCCATTCCTTAAGCTGGCAAAGTCTCTTACCTGGTCTTTTTTAGACTTGTGTGAGGAAGCAACATGAGCCAGATACTGAATAACCTTCTTGGTGTTCTCTGTTTTACCAGCTCCTGATTCACCTCTGTAAGAGAGAGAGCCTGGGATTCATTCAAGAACAAAAAAAAAAAAAAGGAGAAAAATGCATTCATATTTTTAAACACCATGCATCCTTCTGTTGGCCATAGAGCTCTTTAACATTATTCTAAGACTGTAATGGCAAGTCACTCAAAAGCAAAAGTTAAACAGTGAACCCAAACAGTCCACTGATCGATAGCCTACAGCTGGGACTCTTCTCTCATCCTGTCATTCAGCCAGTTTCTCATGACTTTTTTGTGAAGGACATTGGGAAGAATAAAGGAAATGTTGCTTTCCAGTCACTTGGCAGCCTTTGCATCCAAGTGGTTGAGGAATAGTTTGGGGGAGAGCTGTGGAGCTGGGGAGGAAGGGGGGGTCAAACGCAATTAAGTGAAGCCTTCAAAGGAAGGCTTTTTCTAAGCAAAAGATTTGTACTTAACTCCTTCAACACCAGAACTTAGAAGGATGAGGCTCAGCTTAACATGCGGCTGGCCAAAGGCAACTGCAGTGTAGAGTACAACCATTTGTACGTAATGTAGAGTACTACATTATCATCAGCCTGGATAGCAGAAATGAGAACATACACCCCAATTGCTACACTAGTTCTTCCTCACAAAGGCTCTGTCCAAGCATTTTTATGCAGAAAGCAATGTTTCCACTAGGGCACCCACTTCAAGACCACTTTTGGGAAGGGGGAGCAGGGTAAGGGAAAAGCAGCAATTCTGCAGAAAGAGGTAAAATCTAGTCAGGGGAAGGACTTTCATGGTAGAAAGTATGGAAGCAAATGCTTCCTAGACTCTAAAACTTCATCTGACTTCCTGTTGCAGCACACTCACAATAAAAGTCTGTTCGGAAGGCCTTAAAGACACAAAAGACCTGCCACCAGCACAAGCTGAAGAATAGAAATACTCACGTGCAGAGAATGGACTGATCCTCTCGATCTGAAATAAAACAAAAAAAAAACAAAAAAAGGTCAAAGAAGGCAAAACTCACTCACATGAAAGGCTATCTATCTGTTAACTTCAGGGAATATGGTGGCACTGACCAAGGCATGAAGACCAAAAGCTTATAATAAACCCTCTAATGCAGGCACTTTTGGAATTGTGGCTAGCCACCTAACAACCTCTCCAGAGTTTCTGCTTCTTCCTAAATGTGGAAACACCATAGCTATTTGCAATGTTTTTCCTCCACATGTACTTTATGCAGCATAAACCAGTATCTATTGTTACAATGCTTTTTCTGGGGCAAGGCTAGAATCCCTCTGTTGATCTGTCCCTGCATCTCCTGACTTGGCTAGCACATACAGAACAGCCTATGCAACTCAAACCCCAGCAGAGATACAAAAGGGAGCAGACTGACCTAACTTTAAAGCAAGGGAGCCTTAATCCTGGTGCTTCCCAACAGTGAATCATAAAAGTGAAGCAAGGATTGGATTTTCCCCCCCCTCAGTACTGTACTTGAGTAATGATTAAAGTTGCATTACAATGCACTGGCACTTAACAGTTAGGAAGCACCAGGATGAAAGCTGCCCCCACAATCTTAATTTGGCTGTATGTGCACATTGTTACAATACAGTCTCTTTTGTATGGGATCATGCAGATGCCCTCCCCTCTCCGCCCCAAACCCAGGCTTATTCTGTGAACAGTATGGACGGTGCTCACTAACTGGGTAGCGATTGCTTTTTTATTCTCATTGTTTAGTATACAATCTCACGTATTTGCTGCATGCTGTCCAAACCCTGCATTCAGTACAGGATTATTAGTTTCTGCGTGGGCTTTTCTATCGTGTTCCCAGGGGACTGCAGATCTTTAAAACCATGAACTGCGCTTTACAACACCCCATGATGCAAGCTGCTATTATCACCCCCTTTACACAAACAGGATGGAGGCGCACAAATTAGAAGCTAAAGAACTGTCAATTGAGTCTTCAGAGAAGTTGGGTTTTATAGCACTACTCCCAGCACTTCTGCCAATCGGTGCCTAGATGGCTCAAGCTGGATGCCCAGAAGAAGAGATAAAAATTCCTCAAGGCTGCTACTGTGCTTAAGTGACTTGCCCAGAATCACAGAGGAGGTCTGTGGTGGTGAAGGAATGGCGGCCAACTCTCCAGGCAGCAATGAACTGCCTCCACCATGGAACCATCCTCTCTTCCCCTGCCTCATTTGCCAACTTCTGTAACCAATGTGGAAAGGGTTTTACTTGTCCTTAGCTACAACACTTGCTTACTCCCACAGCAGCTCCATCCATTACACAGCTGGTAGGGGAAAAACAACCTGTGATCATGCAGTTAAAATGGCATTGCTATGCGTGGATATAAGGGACTAAATTCTCCAGGTTACATGCACAACCTTAACAGTGGGGTTTCCTATTCTGAGTGAGTGACTGGCAACTTTTACTTCAAGGCTGTCCAAGTGCCTGGGAGCCACAGGCCACACACTGTACCTTGTTATGCAGGCTGCCCTCCATTACTATTGCAGACAGCCCTTCAATGCACTGATGTACCAGCTCTTCACCCTGCACACTGGAGTATTTGACTACCCCTTTGCCATGCCGCATGCCTCCCACCCCACGCCATAACAGTGCTCTCATGCCAAGCAAGGTCTCCAGGTCTTCCTGTAGGGTCCCTCAGCCCCATGGATGGTGCAGCCTCCCCTCCACCACCCCAGGGAGGAAGGCTGTGGAAGCTGGAGGAGGGAGGGGAGCTTGGAGACTGGCAGCAGTGGTAGGAGAGCAGTGCCCAGACCAGTAGCCCACAGGGCCACAGATTAAGCCATCAAGGGATGTATAGGGCCCAGAGGTGAACACTTGGACTGCTGTTTTTCTTTTATATAACTGTTAAAGGAATATGACTTCCCCATGTTAAACAGACCCATAATTAAGAAGCCCAGTCATCTCATCACATGGAACCATACTGCTCTACATTTGGGGTCATTTAGCAGCAGCGTTCCCTCTAAGCGGTGTGGTGTGCATGGCCGCGCAGGCATGCCTGTCCACGCTGCACAGCTTAGAGGGAATGCTGTTTAGCAGCATCAGGATATTCCAATTCCCCAAAGAAAAGTTAAAAAAGCTAAAACTTCCACATTAAAGTAGAACGCTTTGTTCCAAGAAGGGAGAGGTATCTAGACTTTCTGAAGTTCACCAAGGACTTCACACTTGAGGTCCTTTTACTTGGAAGAGGCTCCAATGCTTAAATGATTGTCAGCACTGTAAAGCCTGTAACAGATGGCTCAATTCACTATACAGTCCCCATCCTGAAGGCAGCCAAGCACCAGGTAGATGTAGAAGGCTGCTACTCTTTATGCCGACCTCCCATAAGGAGGAATGGAACTCCTTGCTATTAGGTTCCTTAGCTATGTTCCTTTGCTGTTTAGCAAGCAGAAACTCAAATCCTGGGTTCAGTTCCAGTTTTTGGGACAGATCCAGTCATAGATCTCACTGCCTCTGTTCTCCCAGCATCATCCTCTCCCCTTTTGTTCTTCTTCCCCTTCCAATCTCCATGCTCCCTTTCAGTCTTATCCCCATCACAAAAATTCTTACTATACCTTCCCCAATTCCTACCTCCTGCCCCTGTTCCCCCATGTCTTTCGGCTCCTTTCTCCTGCCCCAACAACCTCAGTCCCATGTACTTCCTTGCCCCCTGTGCCTTGTGTTTGACTCTTGGGAAGTTTCCTTTTTTTTTTTTTTTTTTAAATGTTGTTAGACACCAGCAGGGGGAGCATTGAGCACACAGGAGAGTCCCTTCACTCTGTGTTCCTCAGCCAAGTGCCACAGCAGCTCCAGCAGCTGGGAGCAGCTGCTACCGGAAAAAAATAAGAAAATAAAAATACTCTAGTAGCCCAAGGCTAGAGCTGGATTGGTGATATATTACAGACTATATTAGAAAACATTAAAAATTATGATTTTTATATGGATTTGTAAAGTTGGAAGACAATATAGGATCCCATGCATGGCATCTACATGGATATATAGTAGGTGTAGGTTAGCGCAATCTGGGGCATGCACTCCATGTTAGTTTGGGATAAAGGGGGTGAAGAAGTTGCATAACGACATGAGAAACAAGAGAAACAAGACCCTGCAAATGGTAACCATGTCAGTACAGACTTGTAAGGTAGTAAAACATTCCTAGACGATGGTTTTTGCAAGAGATGTAGAACTGCTGGGGTGGTGAACGTTCAAGGACTTTAACAGTCTTTGTGAGACACGGGAGGGGAGGGGGGACAGAAATGTAGATATCCTTAACCATCAGATGCCATGAAGCACCGCACTGGTTTTGGCAGGGTGCTTGAACTAAAGCTCATCAAGTGAGCTTTAGTTCAAGGGCTGCCACCACCATTTTTAAGTGCAGGGATGCTTTTAACTGGAGAGGAGCTGAGCAGGGCGAGGGCGGAGGTCGGAGTTCGGCTGCTTGCTGTGGGCTCAGGGCTCTCCACCCTGATGCCTTGCCCTTGGAAGCCCCAGGCCAGCTGTAGGAGGCACAACTTGTCGCCTCCACTGCTGCTGGGTGGGCAAGGGATGCATGGCTGGCATAGGGCTCCCAAGGGAAAGGCAGTAGAGCTGAAAGCCCCAAACCCACAGTGAGCAGTCCACATCCACCCTGTGCACAAACCTGGGGGGCCACATGGTCCCTTCATGCCTCCCCCCAGGGCGGGGTACACATCAGCAGGGAGCTGCCCCCTCTCCCTATGCCCCTTGGAGGAGCCACCCACAACTCCGTCCTACTCCTTGCCCAGGGTTCCATTCACCACCCTGGCTGGGAAGCACCCCTAGTCCCAGCCCCACTCCCTCCCTCACCGTGGGGGCCTTGATCCACCCCCCTATGCCCCTTTCCTTGCCTACACCCCTTCCCCTCCACAGACTTACCTGCAGGGCACTGCTCTCCACACTGCCCAGCAGTGTGGAGAGCAGTGCCCTGCAGGTACTGGCATGCATTCCTGGCCACGTGCATGCGTGCAGCTGCGCGCATGCAAGCAGCATCCAGAGGCCACAGCCAGAAGGCATATTATACTTATCAACGACATTAATCGGCTACACCAGCCAAAAAAAAGTTGATAACCAATAATACTGATTTTCCTTTTTTTAGTGCCGATCTGATATGCAACCAATATCGATGCACTTCTAATAGGAAATATAACTTCCCAATAAATATTTAGTGAGCACATGCAAAAAGCTGTTTCCACCCTGCTCCCACAAAGGCTCATACTTTGAACAAATTAGAATCATTCTCTTCTGGCTTTAGCCTCTGTCATCTAGTCTGACCTCTTGGATTAAGAACCCATTAAATATTACCCAATCACCCTTGTTCTGCATTCAGCAATTTCCAAAAAAGCATCCATTCTTGAAGATATCAAGAGATTGACAATTCACCACATCCCTTGAGAGTCCGTTCCAGCAGTTAGTCACCTACATTGTTAAAAATGTGTCCGATGTCTGATATTAATGTGTCTGGCTTCAGCTTCTAACCATTACTTCTCGTTATGCCTTTTGCCACCAAATTAAAGAACAGTTTAGTTCCCAGTATCTTCAAGGAAAGAAAATAAATACTTGTTCAAGCCTCTTTTTGAAAACAAGAGATCAAGCGCAAGTCTCTGGCTATAAAGATTTTACCCTAGCTTTCAATGTTGCAGGCTCTTTTCTGTACTTTCTTCAGTTTTTGCAGTATCTTTTAAAAATAATGTTAACACCACAGCTGTACCTGGCATTCCAAGTCCTGGTCTCACCAATGCCATATAAAAGAGGTAAAAAGTTGTCTCCCTATTCTAGCTTACTACTCTATAAAACAGGGATGTCAAACACCTTGTGCCCTGGGCTGGATCAGACCATGCAGCTCCTTGTGGGTCAGACCCAGCCCAGGGTACACAGTGGCAGCAGCAGCTCTGGCAGCTTCAGCTTTGACATGGAGATGCAGCTGCTGCTACAGCACAGGACACAGTAGCGGCACCTCT